TTTAAAATCTTGAAGTAATTTTTAAAAGGTAAAATAATAATAACCTGTAATTTTTGTGAATACTTGGTGGGGGACGGTGATTTTTATTTTTTAAAAATTATTTCCCCTTTTTGAAACATTTTACAAAATAATATATATTTTGGTCAAATTCTCATGAAATGTTCTAAATCATGAATATGATATAGGAAAATTAATACGCTTTCTAAATAAACAGATTTTATTAAATAATTGGTAAAAGTGCAGTTCAGGTGCGTATATTATTTCTGTTTGAATCTCTTATTTTCCCGTGTAAACTTATGTTAATTCTTTATAAAAAGTATTTTAAAAGTTATATACCATCTTTTTATTGGAATACAACAACAATTTAACAAATTTTAGGAGATAAAAAAAGTACATTTTTATGAATCTTTCGTGTTTTACGGAGCCATTGTGGTAAATCAAGGATAACTCTTCTGTCTTTAAAGATACTTTATAAAAGTTGCAAAATTGGATGAATCTTGTTAAAATAAATTATGTATTTATTTTATAACTTTACTATCAACTATAACCGGAGTTGTCTGGGGCTACATTCAGGAAAAACCATCTGCTACGTCCTTTTAGTTCACATTGTTATTAAAGGAAATGTCAACAACAAAACAACACCACTATAGTAAAAATAATAATAATTAATTTGTCTCCTATTAAAAACAAGTAAAATAACTTATGTAAACCTTTCGTTTTTCCCGTTTTCCGATGGCACCCGGAAGGATCATGATGGGATCCCGAACCCGATGTGATTCCGATCCTGGTCATGGTGGGATCCCGATCCCGGTGAGATCCATTTCTGGTGTTATCCCAAACTAAATGAGATCCCAATCCGGTGGGATCCCGTTTCGGTGAGATTCCGATCCCGATAGGATTTTGATCCTAGCAAGATCCTGATCCCGGTGGGATCCCGATCCAGTGGGTTACCGATCCTGGCGGGATACCGGTTATGGTGAGATCCCATTTCGGGTGAGATCCCGTTTCGGGTGATATGCAGATCCCGGTAATTATGGGGAGCTCACATACTTGACATACGAACCCAGCTTACAAGCCACATTGCAATTCTTATGAGCGCCTCAGGAGAAATTCCAGTTGTATTAACGTTATTTGTTGCCCCACAAGGTGCGCGTATAAACCAAATGCTGCACCATTAAAAATGCCTGTTGCATCAACAATTTTAGTTATTGTTTCTTAGTCGTCCTGCAATTTTAAACAAAATGATCCTACAACCAGCAATACCGCAAAGCCAAAACGAGTCTGTCTTATAATATAAAAAAAATAATCACTAGCCCTCACTTTACTCAGCGCAAATCAGTCACCAGTAATAAGCGCATTTGCATACGAAAAAAGAGGAGGGGTGCTCAAATTAGAGCTGACCAATCACGGACAGCGTATTAGCAGCCTTCAGGGTGATCAGCTTCACACCAGGTCCAGGACAATGATGA